TAACATGTTAAGATAATGTGTATAACATGTTAAGATAACGTGTATAACATGATAAGTTAACATGTATAACATGTTAAAATAGCGTGTATAACATATTAAGATAATGTGTATAACATGTTAAGATAACGTGTACAAGATAATGTGTATAACATGATAATTTAATGTTTATAACATGTTAAGCTAATGTGTATATCATGTTAGCCAATGTGTATAACATCCATCCATCCATTATCTTTTACCCACTTCTTCCTTTCTGGGTCGCGGGGGTCACTGGTGCCCATGTCTAGCCATCACTGTGCGAGAGGCCGGGGACACCCTGGACAGGTCTCCAGTCCATTAAAGGGACACATAGAGACAAACAAGACAAGCAACCATTCACTCTCTCTCACACACCTAGGAACAATTCAGAGTTAGCAATCAGCCTAACATGCATGTTTTTGATCTATGGGAGGAAACCGGAGTAAGCAGAGAAAACCCACGCATGCACGGAGAGAACATGCAAACTCCACCCAGAAAGACCCCCGGACTGGAATTTGAACCAGGGTAACCTGCTCGCTGAGAGGCAGCAGCTCTACCAGTTGCACCACCGCGCTACACGTGTATAACATGTTAAATTATCACATATAACATGTTAAATTAATGTGTATAACATGTTAAGCTAATGTGTATTGTTAAGCTAACATGTAACATATTAAACTAACGTGTATAACATGTTAAGCCTACATAAACAAAATGTTAAGCTAACGTGTGTCACAAAAGCCCGTTTACAGAATATGCCTTATAATCCTAAAATATATGGAAATGCATGTTTTATAAAGCATGCTAACTATGCTACAATAAAAAAGCCTAAAAAAGTTTTCTAGATTATCTGTCTTAAAGAACATTTATTTTCCAATTCTTTATTCGGCTCTTTGATTGCTTTAAATGTCTTGATGTGGCCCTTTGGGAAAAAAAATGTTGCCCACTGTCTTAGTGTGCTTGTGTGTGCACGACGTGAGATTGATTCAGAGAACCTGAGACAAGAGATGAAGCAGACAAAGAAGATAAATCCCTCTAAATATATTTATCCTCAAACTGACTCCAAGAAGAAAGAGAATGTGAATGTAGATGAAGAAACGCAACAACAGCACAAGACCTCATCATTCAGTCCAAAAGTTTGTTGGAATAGAAACAGGGTTATTTAGTAAAAGATGAAGAGGAGCGGGAACGAAGAAGAATCTTCACGATAAAGCCGAGACATGTTGAGTGCAGCAGTTCAATGTTTAAAAAACACTCAAATACTTTCAATACTTGTTTCACACTTTGAACGTCTGCGTTCCTGATTGATCCTGAAGTGTCCGAGCAGCGAGCAGTAGATTCAGTCCGTCACCGAGGCCACCTGAACGAATGATTGACAGATTTAACGAGGGACTGGGAGACTGTTTGAGGGCGACGAGACAAATTAAAAATTATTATTGGAAGTTTTAATCTGACCGTGCCTCCTTGCCTGAAGGAGATAACTTATTGATCCTGGCTGACATCCATTCCAGCTCATTGTTAGAAACAAAACACTGAATAATAATTCTTGGAATCGATTATTTGTCGCTGTATGAAATAGCTACAGTGAAAGTGTCCTTCATTTGTAGTCACACTGGTGGTCAAGGCTGCTGTGTCTCATACTTGCTGTCACTTTCAGTTGATTTATTATGCAAAGTCAGCGTTTGCTGCGGCAAAAAGAGGAGGAAGGAAGCACGTGTAGCAGTTCTTGAAATCGTCACCACTTTGGGAGTTAAAGATGTTTAAATGCCTTTCACCAGCTCTGTAGCAGTTGATAGTGGTAAGGTAAATAGGCGTTGCATTGCCTCTTTGTGTTTTTTTTCATCTTCAACCGAGTCAACTTGCATGTGTTTGCCTGCTGTTGCATTATATATTCAGCACGATGTTTGTTTCTAAAACCTACACTAAAACTTTTCAGGACACAGAATTCTACAGGAACTGATTTATAAACTTTCTCTACGATTACTTTCTGAGAGTTTCATTAAAATCCGACCTGTGGGTCGTGGGATGTTTTGCTAACAGACATGCAGGTGAACACTTATACACACAAACAGCAGCCCCTTTGCCTTCAGTTGAGAGTAAAACACTGGACTGTACACATTAATGTGCATAAGTCTTCAGCCGTCCCTCGTTTCCTTAAAATTATTTTCCAAGGAGTCAGCCATATTTGAAGTCTTTTGAAGTGAACATGATCAGCACTTCTTCGGGGGGTTTTTTTTGTAGTTTTTCTTTGGACTTTACATATTTTCTGTTTACTGAAGAAAGTCTGGTTTGCAAAGAGAAGCTCATGTTTGATAATCTAGACTTTTTTTCTGTACAGGTGCAAGAGTCATCCAAAGCTCTAGACCTAAAGAGCGAACGGTGGCGGGAGGGTGAAGCAGGAGGAGAAGATGCGGACGGAGCAGCTTTGAAGGTTAAACACGTCTCCAAAGACTTACAGATCATTTCCACCAAACACAAAACCCCCATGTACGGCTCGCTCGGTCCCTACGGCTGGCCTCAGAACTTCTCACAAGCCCCCGACCAGTTCCTGTACCGACCTCCTCCCAAATCTAAGGTTCCTGCTAAAAGCTCCCCGAAGGCCAAGAAGATCCTGGGCTGGGGGGACTTCTACTTCAATGTGAAAACCATGAAGTTCAGCCTCCTGGTGACGGGGAAAATTGTAGACCACATCAACGGAACGTTCAGCGTCTACTTCCGCCACAACTCATCCCGTCTGGGGAACATATCCGTCAGCATCGTCCCACCGTCCAAAGCTGTAGGGTGGGAGGTTCTGGACCGTCCAGCTCAGAGCAGCCAGGTCAAAAACTCAGTCCTGTTCCCAAATTTGACATCCCAGGTCTCCAGCCCCCCTCAGTCCACCAGCTCCGCTCCCCCCGAACATCAAAAATACCAGCGGGACGTGATGATGGTGACTGAGCTCAACTGCCGCATTGAGTACCAGAGAACCAACCGGTCCAAGAAGACCAAGCCCTGCATGTATGACCCGGGACAGACCTGCTATTCTGAAAACACACAGTCCCAAGCAGCCTGGATCTGTGCCAAGCCCTTTAAGGTTATCTGCATCTTCATCGCCTTCACGGGCACGGACTACAGGCTGGTGCAGAAAGTCTGTCCAGATCACAACTTTCAGACAGATCCAAACCAGCAGCACCTGGGATGACGAGCTCCGACGCTCTGAAACTGTTTAAACTGTACATTCTTTTTACATTTAAACCCTGCCTCTCTTTTTTTAATAGGACTGACAACTTAGTTTAAATCTTTAAAACCCACAATGAACACAGTGAGAGCAGTTTTATCCCAAACCTTTTGTTTTAAAGCACATGTGTCTGAAACTGCTCTCGTCAGCCTAATTATCAACAACTTTAAAACTTTTTCCAATAAATTGACTCTGCTGAAGCTGTTTCACTCAAAATTTACCGACATATATTACCGATTTCTTTAATTTCTTAGTTTTTCATCAAGAGAGAATCCTGTACATATTTAGAAACATGTTTTTTTTTAAATTAACGACACAAACTGATTGCAAGTATTTTACCTATTCAAGGACTTATGTTTTGGCAGTTTTAAAGTAGCTACTTTTTGAATGTTTTTTTTAAAGACTGGGATAAAACAGACGTTTTACTTGTTTTATCAGTGACACAATGTATGCATGTCCCTGGCCCTCTTCCAGTAGGATCTCACATTCACCCTTAGAACCAAGGAGGTTTTCATTTCAGACTTCACGCTGTCACCAACATGTTTTCTCTGGCAGGCATTATGGGTAAGTACTTTTGTTTAATAGTTCATAAAATACAGATGCAATAAATGACTTTATGGATTTTTTTCCCTGCATGTTCGAGCTGTTTATTCACTTACTGTTGCAAACTTAGACCAGCGTGTCATCCCAGCTTGCCTGCAGAACTGTCTGATTTTAAAATGTGTGTGCGCTGGATTAATTTTTAAATTCTGAGCAAAACTAAAAACAATTATTCATCCAATAATTTTGAAGCTTTGTAAAAGATTGAGACTATGCCTTGGACAAGACTTCAATTCAAGGGTTAGAAAAGATCAAATCAAATCAGCTTTATTTATAAAGCTCATTCAAAACCACTTGTGTCGACCAAAGTGCTGTACAATAAACACACTGAAAACACAGATATAGTCTCGGAGTTGTTGCGAGTGACTCAAAGCTGTCTCGATTTAGTTTCCTTAACTTTACAGCACAATATAGAACAGAAAAACACAGACCGTGACCGTTGTTAAAAGCAGAGGGGATGCTTCACAGTGTAAAACGTGGCTCTGCTTTAACTTTGTTTTAGATGTGTTGCACATATTAAATTCAAAATGATCTTATTAAAAATACAGAACAATTTCTTAGTTTCAGCATTTAATGTCTATTATGTGTTCCACTGTAAATAAAATATGGGTTTATGGAAATTTATAGATTTATTTGGGGGGAGTGGTGGTGCAGAGGTTAGAGAAGGTGGGCCTGTAATTGGAAGGTCACCGGTTCAACTCCCCAGACCAAAAACATCAAAATGTGGGTGGGAAAGGTGAAACACCCACACCTGCTTTCACCCTCATTTACCCCACCATGTGCCCTTGAGCAAGACCCTTAACCCCCATCATCTGCTCCCCCAGGTGCCCTAGATAGCAGCTCTCTGCTCCACACAGAGGGCTGTGGTAGCTCAGTGTTCTGTGGTTGTGTCAGGAAGGACATCTGACATAAAAACAATAGTTGTTACTTGTTGTTTTTCTTTTGGCTGCTCCCGTTTGAAGAAGGACAGATGAGTTAAGAAATTTAATTTGATGCCATGCACAGATTCATGAACAAGCAGAAAAAATTAAACATCTGCTAACCCAGAAGTGGTACTGGATCTTTTTCCAGTAAATGTCATGAACGTAAAAGATGAAAGAAGACTTCCATTAACATATATTTCTATTTGAATGTGTCTTTTGGGCCAAAGTAGCCTGCAGTTACACAAGAGTCATGCAGCTAGAAGGTTTGGACGGAGACAAATCTCACCTGAGCAGCCTTCCTGCAGTTTCCATGTTCTCCATAACAGCTTCACTGAATCACGTTTGTTTGTTGCACTGCTTTTTATTTGATGGCTTGTTTAAAACATCAAAAGACACATTATCTTTTTTTTTTCTATCTCCTTTTTTCTAAAGCCTTTGCTGAAAAGTGTCAGTAATTTTGGATGATAGGAGTGTTTTCTTCTTTCCCTCTCACTCGAGTTCAGTTCTTCAAGATGGTTTCAAAAGACACCAAAGGAGCAATCTCAGATAACAACAACAAAAATGAAAAATCCAAGATTTTTTTTAAATCTGTCTTTAAGCGATACAAAACATCAAAAATAACTTTTTTTTTTAATTATTATGAAGAAGAAATAAAATTATATTACAACATTATACTGGATTTTTCACATATTTTTGTGTTAAAATGTTTTAGACTCATAATGACTTTTTTTCTGATCCCTGTGTTCATGCTCTCCCCCATGATACAGCTCCCTCTTCCTCAGAGGTTCAGATCTTTAGGAAGAGAGGGTCAGATCACCTCTGAGTTACCCAGATGAAGCCTCTGCAGCGGAGGCGGATGGACGGGGCAGGAGAACTTTCCCAGGAAGACCCAGAAATGTGTAACCTCCTGCAGCAGGAGAAAGACAGACGGTGTCGAAGACATGAGCTCATCACATCAGAGGTGAGACTGACAAGAAAAAAAATTAAAACACGTTAAAAAAAAGACAGGAAGGAGCATGATCTGATATGTGGTGGTCAAGAGTGAAGGATTTAAATGTAAGCTGGAGTAACAGGTCATAGTATAGGTCCAATCTGGACTATACCTGGAGTTAAAGGGTCCTAGACTAGATTATACCCCAGATATATTGGAGTCTAGGACTATTTATACTCCTCAGGCCAGATTATATCCCCATGATATCAGCACTGTTGAGTCATATACACAAGAATTACTTACTTTTGCAACATTGTATTGGGGGTTCAGCTTTATCGGGTAAGTTAAGGGAGAAAGCTTAAAACTGAAAACTCAAAATTTGGTAATCTCAAGCCAGATGGTTATATTCTAGCCTAGAGGTGGCATAGTCTAACTTGGGCAGTTATACATCCCCATAAACAGTTTGGCCTAGAATAGTTTATCCTCCTGGCTGGGTATACTCTGGCATGGGCCAGACTATGCCTGGATTTAATTTAAGCAAGGGTTAATTTGGCCCATCACACAAAGATGTACGGGTGACAGTAAAAATAAAGTTTTTTTCCTAAAAAATGGACAACGTTGCTGCAAAGGCAGGATGTCCAATAACACAAATAAACAGTCTTTGAAAATCTAAATGACAAATACACAGAGGTGTTGGGATTTTTAAAAGACAGTGACCTGAGTCAGGAAATGACACCAAAGCATTGATAAATCTAAAGTTTAAGACCATACAACGATGAAAGCATCATTATGTGAGCATGAAAAAATAATAAATTGTAATAAACATGCTGGTGAAGATTCTCAGTCATCCAGGTCAAGGTAAATCCAGAAAAAAGGTTAAAAATAATCTAAACTGAAATTCTATTCTATTATAGCCTGTTGAGTAGATTTTCCTTCTATTAAATTTTAATAAATTTGCAGCTTCCTCTTCAGGTTTCATGTTAATTGTAACAATCATCAGTTTGTAGCAAAAACTCAAATATGTTTGTTTAAATATTTGCTCTGTACTTTGACTCTGTGTGTGTAAAATCAGCTGGTTCTGACTGGTGAACACTGAGCCGCATTTAGAAAATCATTAATCTGTTATGGTTTCTGAGGGAGTTTTCTCCACCTTTGTGTGGGTTTTCATTTTATTTAGTTTTTTAGGCAGGATTTTCTCTTTGTTTTAAGTTTTTATGGTTTCATTTTGGTTTTTGTAAAAAGGTGTCTAGTTTAGTTTACAAAGTACAACCACGGTTTCTGTCAGTTTTATTTAGAAGACCTACGTAACTCACTAAGGTCATAGTGTTTTTTTACTTTTGTTTCACTCCTGACTTCCATCTTTATTAACCAGTTGATCAAATGCTCCAGTTTGCTCTGTCCTCTTGTCTGACCATTCTTAAAAGCAATGAATTTGTTCCAGTTTTGTCATACAAATTGTGATTTGATTGATATAAAACAATATTTTTCCTTTTTCACCGACCCACCAGCTTTTGTGCTTTTGGGTCCACCTTTTCTTACCACTCACCTTAAACTAGAACATAAATTTTAGTCTATCAAGCAGATTTTATTTCTGATCACTCGTTTCAAATTGTATAGCTCAAACAAAACAACAAACAGCAGTTTATCACTCTGCAAACAATCTGTGCAATGGATTAAATATTTAACTGTCAGTATGGTTTTAATTTGGGTCATTTCTCGGTAAGCTTTAAATTTGGTTGTGAATTAAAAAAGAAAAATATATGTATTTTGGACTGGAAGATAGAAAACACAAGTTTTTCTGCAGAGTTCTTCTGCAGCACTGAAAGCACAATTCAACAGAGTTTGTGTCTCTAGGACTGAACTGTTTTCTGAAGTTTCTTTGGATTGCAGTTTTTGAAAATCACCGATGTGATCTCAGCTGTGGGGAAAAAGAGTTCACTGTTATAATTCTTCCACAATTATAAATCTGCAGCTCCATCAGTCACATGTTCTGAAAGATTTTTATCTTCAAGTGCTGTCATTTTCCACTGCAGTTCCTCTCCCAGAGGGGTCTTGTTTTTTCTACAAGAACGTTGTCAAATTAACCTATTACTTTCCTCAGTGATGTCTTTCATTCATCTCCACATTCTGAGTTGAGATGGGGGAGGAGGGGCAGTCGTGTGTGTGTGTGTGTTGTGTCAGGATGGAGTTTTCTGTCGGGGACTAGATTTAAACCTCACTAGAATGATTGAGTGATCCCCAAGCAGTGACAGGTTGAGTATAATAACGAGACTTGGGGGGAAGACGATACAGAGGAAGAGTCTGAGGAAATATGAGCTGAAGTGAAAGTAGGAGGGAAAAAAATGAAACTGACACCAGAAAAGAATTCATTTGCATTCAGTTCTTTTCTGTTTTCTCTCCCTCTGCAGTTATAGAAAACCAGTCAGTCTTTTATTACATTTATACAAATTATATAAACCCTTTTTAGTGATCTTCTCTATCACAGCAACTCACTTGGTTTGTAATGTGAT